TGAGGTCGTCTGGTCTCATGTCACTGTCTTCCCGTGAGTCTGTTTATGTCTATGAATTGGAAAGCTTTATTCCTGAAGTACGTGTGAGTATACATTTCCCGGTAAAATCTTGATATCGGGTGTTGACATATCATCGGCACGCACGTGTACTATTGTTTACCATGGGCCTGTTCGTTTATGCGGAACAACCGGTTTGACCGTTTATAAATGTAACAATTTCGGGTGTAAATCCTGGCGGACCTGCAAATGTGTATGCAGGCCTTGCAAGGCTTTCTCAAGACTCGCCTGAAAGCAGCATCAGATTACTAGGTCCGACCTTATTTAATAAACGAAAAACAGTGGTCCGATCGGTTTGACCGTTTAAACGAAAACGGCCCAGCAGGTGTTACTATAATTTGCACTACGATATTGAATGCCCGATACGCAATACGGAAATGACGACACGGTGTACATGCACATTTGGATTAAGATAATTGAGTCCTAGCTGTACTTTTTCCGGAAGTATGTCACGAAAATGGACGCTGATGACGATGTGTCGAGCCACCTTAAGGAAAATGATCACATGCCTAAATATTAAAAAATCAAAGACTGAAGGAGGATTCGAGCCTGCACCGTTTATTTTCTAGTCGCAAGTAAACTGCGTTACACAATCGGCTACATAGAACATGTAGATATTGGCAATTACAAACTTATTTAACCCGAGAAGTTTATTCAAAGTTGGTCCTCGGATGGGAAAGTGTTGAAAGTATTTTTTTTTAAGTCCGGGAAACCCAATCACTTTCATAGATATAGTGTATATGGCTATATTTGCAGTATCATATTAGCAATACTTAATTTATCAGCAGTTTGAAAATCTATATTCAATTGGTTTTGTATCTTTTGTATGCATTTTTGCTACCCGAAATGTTTTACTCCTTAATTTTTTCCCCCGTTTTCATAAATGCCGACTTAATGAAATACGGGCAGTTTTCCGCCATACCTCTTTGAGAAGGATCTCTCTAGTATTGAAAAACAGCGGTAACAAACTTTCACTCTCAGATCAAGCCTGTGGGCCGTCTTTGCTTTCCGATTTTCATTTCATCAAATTTTATTGACAAGATGTCGTAATCAATTGGATTGAATAACAGGCAAAGCCTATATAAATTCTCTCCGTCAAATGGCCAAAGTTGAATAAACAAGGAGACATAATATTTCAGACATCTTGCAAATGAAAAAATTAACACAAAATAATTCATATTAACACAAGGCTAAGGGGAAGTAACTCATGAAGGAAACATCTCACACACACACTTACACACACATACAAGTACATGTACAAATACATTTATTTCAGCATATCTATACACTATCATAGACAGATATTGGCAGGCTTAGACCAAAAGTCCATGTGCATATATTGCACAGGTCACTGCTACCAACAACTGTTACAATTAAAAATGATAAATTCATTTGATACATATAGAGTGTAATTATTTACAATGTCATGATAGGTACACGTAATAGACAGTAGTCATGCTCAACTAGAATCTCCTGGATGAAATATAGAATATATAGTATATTTTTATTTAACATCATGGCTTTAAGTCATATAAAAATTAAAACGACGGGATTTTCCAATAAAAATATGCACATCATCAAGTATTCTTCTATTTGTAAGCCCATCACAATCAGGACAGCCCTGGAGAAGAATGTTTTTATCAATTGCTTTCTGATCAGTCTCAATAATCGATATGCATACTTTCTCAGAAAAAGCGCAAACAAGATTTGTTTAAGGATCATCTAATGATGCTGAGCTAGAAAGAAAACGAATGGTCAAAAGTTAATCGGCATCTTTTTCGAAGAAAAGCGTTTTTAAATGATTTTATAACAGCTTTTTTAATTCCGATTTAAAATCAAAAGCGAGGATAATTGCCGTTACCGCGGCTGTGAAAATTTAGGCACGGTTATGATGTCAAGCAAATGAGAAGAACTACATCAATCATGTTAAAGGGAATGGTAGCAAGCGCACAAAAACGTGATTTGAAAAGTAAAAGTACCTTTTCAACACAATCGAAATAACAAATAGGTTCATGTAAAAGGTGCGTGTCATGCTACGCTATGAAGCTGATCTTCGCGAATAAAAAAAAATAAAAATTAAGAAAGGGTCACGTATGAATGACCAATTCGGAAACAGGCAATGCAAGAATGACGTCGTCTCGTCGTCCTTCTCTATAGCTCACACGATTCTCATATTTCAGGTTTTATGTTGTGTCACTATTATCTTACATATGACGTCATATATACGTTCTTTGGTTCAAAACAACCGATTATATTTTTTATAATTAGCGTTTATTTTTGCAAATTACTTACTTCCTTGTAGTATATCCGGGTATATTAGCTTTGATTTGTTACTGTTTAAAAAAAGTCGCAGTTATTATGAAGCATTTCTGCACTGTGTTATATTTAGCCATTTGATATTTAAATGTAATTTAATATATATTTGTCTGTAAATCATATCCTGTTTTGGTCGAAAGAAATTGTAAAACGGCTTCTAATTACCTTCATTTGTGAAAACAAGATCCAAATCAAATTACAGAGCAAACGCCTCCTCATCAACGGTGCATACACTGTAGGGTTACCAATGACGACTTGACGAAGTAATATATGCATTGGGGTATCATATGAAGTTTCCAGGGTCTTGTAACGGGATTGCTGAACAGACGAGTTCGTAATTGTTTATTTGCTTGTATGGGCTTTAAAGTCCATTTTACAGCTTGGAACAAAGGGAGACAACACAGACAGGAAAGAAAAGAGGTTGTTGGGAGAAAAGGGAATACACAAAAGTTCCACTTGTTGCATGTATATATTTTGGTTGCTTTTATCTGCCCTTATAAAGGTTTGGTTTTATTTTGTTTCACGTCCTATTAACAGCTTAGGTGACTTAAGGGCACAAAAGCAAGTCCTTAACTCTGCATGGGTTCCCTTATAAGTAGCACGTATCAACATTCAGTGGTCTACAACATGCATATTCTTATCTCCATCCCGACTGTAATGTTGGTCTGCGATGGTATTTTCTTTTACACGTTTCACAGATTGACCATATTATGTAATTCAGAAATAGCGCAACATATCAAAATCAATTTACACCATTAATGTCGCATTTTTTTAACGTTGTTTCTATTTCGCTTGCGGTAATGAGCAAAAGCCTGTTTAGCCCAACCTAGACCAAAGGGCCACGTGAGCTTATGCCGTGGCGCAGCGTCTGTCGCCCGTCAACTTTTCCCCTTCCTCATAGGATGCTACTATTTAAATTTGGTCGAAATACCGTCATCCCAACAGAAAAAAAATGATAAAATGATATTAAAGCTATTCCTCTATACCCGGGGGGCCACACCAATCGTTTATACAATGTTGGTTCCCCTTCACCAAAGGGTGCTTCTACCAAATTTGGACAAAATCCTGTCGTTCCTACAGAAGAAGGAGTTTGAAGAACTTGCTCTATTTACCCTATTGGGCCCCGTTCCTCTGACCCAAGGGGGGCCAAACTCACTGTTTATACAAAATTGAGTCCCCTTTGCCCGAGGATGATCCCGACTAAATCAGGATAAAATCCCTTAATCCCTACGGTAGAAGAAGGATATTAAAGGTTTTACCTCTATTTCCCCTATTTGGCCCCGCACACCTGCCCCCAGGGGGGCCACACCCAACGTTATACAAAATTGAGTACCATTGGTCTAAGAATGTTCCAGACTAAATCAGGATAAAATCCCTTAATCCCTACGGTAGAAGAAGCATTTTAAAGGTTTTACCCCTATTTCCTCTATTCGGCCCCGCCCCTCTGCCCCCAGGGGGGCCCCACTCACCGTTTATACAAAATTGTGTCCCCTTGGCCAAATGATGCTCCAGACTAAATCAGGATAAAATCCCTTAATCCCTACGATAAAAGAAGGATTTTAAAGGTTTTACCTCTATTTCCCGTATTCGGCCCCGACCCAATGCCACCAGGGGGCCACACCCACCGTTTATACAAAATTGAGTCCCCTTGGCCCAAGGATGCTCCAGACTAAATGGGAATAATATCCCTTTATCCCTACGGTAGAAGAAGGATTTTAAAGGTTTTACCTCTATTTTCCCTATTCGGACCCGCCTCAATGCCCCCAAGGGAGCCACACCCACCGTTTATACAAAATTGAGTCCCCTTGGCCTAAGGATGTTCCAGAGCAAATTCAGTCAAAATCTACTTTGCCGGTCAAGATTTGTAGCGTTTTAAAAGAAAAGTCGACGGACGGACGACGGATGGACGACGGACGCTGCGGTATGGCATTAGCTCACCATGGTCCAGTTGAGCTAATAAAATCAAACCAAACCTTTATCATATTTATGATTATATTCATAATAATAAGCTTGTTTCAAATGATTTTATCAGACGCAAAACCAGAAGGATAATTCGACAGCAATAACTCCACATCATTTGGTTTATAGGGTTTGGCGTGCTATTAAAAGCTAACATTCTGTTAAAAGACTCATCGTTTTACGTAATCTATTCATTCAAAAAAACTTACAAGTCCTATAAGCGTGGGCGCTATATAAATATCAAGCTTTTGACGTCCAGGTTTGAAATAAATTAAAATAGACCCTATTTCGTCATTAACAACGTAAACATATTTTTTTGAACAAAGCTCTATCACGTGACCTAGGGCGTACATGGATGCATTCATTGTGTTGTGCATATATAAAGGACGTCTCAAATACCCAACAGCGGAGTGAAAAAGGAAAATTCAAGGTCTGCAAACGCTCCGAACAAGGAAAAGGTAAGGTGTTCAATTTTATATTTTACACGTATAAGCGAACAAATTACATGACTACTGGCTTTGACACGAAACAAGGCAATGTATCTCGATACTTCAATGTTCAACTTATAACTTTTGCCTTAAATTGCTTTTTTATCACTCTTTCGGCTTGTTTATGCAAAGAAAACATCTTTCGGATTCATTCAACGTTAATATTTACTGGCTTTGGTGGCGACACTAAGTTTACTGGTCTATTTATTCTGGGAATGTATTTCATTTCTCAGCTTCTGATTTCAGCTAATATATCCGTTTGAATCTGAATTGCTATACATTTTGCCTGCTAAACTTACCCTTATCGATACCTGTTAATGCTTCTTGTTAACTTGTTGATCGAGCCAGTTAGATGTTCTACCACTCTATCACTGTCTGGCCTTAAAATCGTCGCTTGTTTCTTGGAGCTTGTCACTGCTACGGATGTTTGTTTGGAAATAATTGTGTCCACCTCATTGCTTTAAACAGTGCAAAATTTGTGTACATTTTGTGATGGTACTCATATTTGTTATGACGTTCTTACAAGGTCTTGGAATGTCACTGTCAGTAACGTTCGAAAATTGTATTGTTTTCTGTTTCGATGTAACTATACAAGTGGTGGCTGTTATTGTGGTTGTGCCTTCTGACGACTAAGAAAGGCAGAGCTCAAATAACCTTCAAAAGTAAAAATATCTGCAAGTTGGTTTGGTTTAATTTTATTTCGTTTAACGTCTTATTAACAGCTAATGTCATTAACTATACTGGAGAATGTTATGAATAATACGTTACTATCATGTAAATTATTACTCCGCAAGCAGTAATCAACAAGATAATGCTGGACTCTTAGAATTGCTTAAATGAACTTAACGTGTCGTTAATTCCTTTAGCCACGAAACGGAAGTACATACCTATCAGTCGGCGTAGCGGACAAATATAACAAAAACAAAAGTTTAACTTACAGGAGCCAACGAACCACATCAAGGGGGTATCATAACCAAATCTTTCCTACCCATCTTTAGTAATATGATGCACATCCTACTGAAAGAAAATAGAAAGCTTGGGATTAACGAACACCATTCGTGCACGGTATAAATCAACCGGACAAATTGATGCATAGGCAAGCCTTATTGTTAAATAGCACATGGTTTATAAACAGATAGGTGTCGTTACATCGCTGACGTCATGAACCTTTATTAACATGAACAACTATTTGTTAGAGGGCGGTTTTTTTTGTAATTATGTCGGCAATGCTTACTTCATGGTTAATTGTAGTGAACTAGCATTTTTGCAATGCGAGTGCTTTATAAACCCGTTAATAAATGGCTCACTAATTGTGTTTTTCTGTATATCTAAATTGAAGAGTTTTGCAGTCTATAAATTACAGGTGGATAAATAGTCTTTTCCATCAGTAGAGGGTTGAGATATAAAATTCTTCTGGTAGAGTGTTCGAATTGTATTCTCACTGGTCACCCTTGCAGGTCGGGAATATATAAAGAATACACCTCTGGTAGATGGTTAATTAGTTAATTGCTTAATGGCAAAAACAACGGTGAAGTCATATCGAGCCTGACAACAATGATAAGGTTAGCGACCCTGTAATAAATAGATAACTTTGGTGATTCTAAGCTCATTTCTAGAGGATATCCTCGAGTTGAAAATAGTTTAATAGAGCTTGTTGATGATGTTTCGGATGCAATGCTAGCATTGTTTCCTTTGGGAATACACTTGTTGCTAGAATAGATAATAATTATGTCCATTAATCTACACATCACTGATGAACTACAAGCGTCAAACAATAGAATAGTGAATCACTCCATTATGCAAGGTGTCAGAAAACACATCTAGTATGAATTTTGATTTTACGTCCTTTTCACAGTATGTATTGTATGCTTCCATATGTGTATGTCTGCTGGATTCCAACTCATTGTAATACTCGCAACATGTGAAAAGTAATCTAACAACGGCGTTGTAACTGAATGATCGACTGTATGTTAGTTGTCCGCTGTAGTATTTATTCATTTGGAAGACGAAAAGAATGAAAATGACAATTTAAAAATCGTTGATAACACATCTGAAATTATACTTTTACGATAACATATCCTATGCTTTTTATATTTACAAAATGTAGTAACTGTTGGTGTTCGCTATTTTGAACATTGTTTTAAATGTCAAGGTGTTATAATAAAGCTTTCTTATCCCAACACGTTACTGGCTATTGATTACATCGTTGCCTTTTTCCCAGACATGATGCTGTCGGCTAAAACTGCCGTGCTGGTGATATGTTGTCTTACCCTTGGCAACGTGATGACGAAAATGACATCGGATATCTACCGGGAGTTGGAGGAAGTCTTGGAAGATTTGAATGAGGAGACGAGAGGGGAAAATGCGGAGGAATCGGAGTTGTCTTCTGACACATTGGATGAGGATAGTGTTGACGTCGCGACGAGAAGCGGTTATAAGATTACTCTCGCTGTAAAGCTCGCCTTAATCAAAGCAAAGAAATTGCTCGAGGAGGAGTTCGTGATACGAAATCGCCATTTTACATCCGGTATGTGCCCGTTTTATTGCAAGTATTTGTTTATATAACAGCGCATTATATTTGCTCTAGGAATGATCAGCATGTTTAGTCAGGATCGTTATACAACGTTCAAAATGAGTTTTCTGCAGTAGGGCCTATATCGGTCACCTGGATAATAAAGCAACCATGGGAAATTATTCGTATTACATAAAATCCCTACCGAAAGGTGGTTTTTAAAGATTTAAACCTCAAGTTATTCCCTAATGGGCCCCGAAACTCTGCACCCAGAGGGGCCACACCATCTGTTCATATAAAATCTAGTCCCCTTGGCCCAAGGATGATTGAGGTCAAATTTTGTAGACTTAAACCTTGAATTTCCATCTTGGCCCTACCCCTCAGTACCCACAAGGGCAACACGTTCCGTTTTTGCAAAATCGAATCACCTTTGCCACAGAAAACTTCAAGCCAAATTTTGATAAAATCCCTCCAATGCTACAGAAGCCCGAGAATGTTCCTGTACAAAATTAAGATAAAATCCCTCTAACCCGAAATTGATTTGTCAAGGTTTTTCTTCTATTTGCCCCCGCTCTTCTGCCCCAGGGGGCCACACTAACTGTTTATTCAAAATTGAGTGATGTTTCCCTAAGGATGCTCCAGACTAAGTTTAGTCAAAATCTCCTATGCCGTTCAGGACCAGTAGCGTTTTAAAGGAAACGTTAATAACAAAAATAGGGGGACTCACTTGCTAACAACTAGATTAATTTCATACGACACTTTCGATTGATTGATCAATGTATTGTCCTACTGTTTAACGTCGTCGACTCCTGATCACGACACCATGTCTTTAAACAGGAAAATTAAACCGTTATTGTTTTCCTTTACCTGTTCCACCCAGTTTTCAACCATGCATGTTTAGTCACTCATCGCGGGCGGCAGGTCTTGCGCAAAATGTCAACAATTATTATGGTGGATCCTTAGCGTCTGCGTGGTCGAGACCAAATTTGCATATATTCTTTCCGGAGCTGTTTTCGTTTCAAATGAAATGGCGACGACTAAGCTGAAGCTGAATATAGTTGCCGAGCAAGTAATAGGATTGAGATTGTTCTGTTTGTTCTCTAGAGTAGCCGCCGAGTCCAGTACCTAATTTTCCCCCTTTAATTCATACAGGCTCTCACTAACAATTTTCATGTCCTTGAAGAAAGAACAATGTAGCCTTTTGAAGCATTCCGAAATATCCGAAAAGCTCTCACACTTATAGTCTTGGACTGGGGGTTGACTTGCCTCCATAGTTGACATGTTGCTTGTATATTGGTAAGCGCACGAGCGAATGACACGTATACGGCCTTTGCATGTGCGTGTACAGGTACATGCTATAAATAGCGTGCTTGTCACAAATTGACGAGGTAATTTGTCTAAACCAAATATAATTACAGTTCACTAACAACTAATAGACTCAGAAGTCGTCATTTGAGTGTTCTGCAGCATCAAAATCATGGGAGTCAAATTTCAATAAAACAGTAGTAAAATCGAAATATACGGCTCGCTCAGGTCGTCATACCGGAAGTCTGAACAAGCATGGGGGTCCAGACCCCATTGCCTATCCCACATGGGCAAACGCTCAACATTAAGGTCATACTTGAGATATTGCCAAGCAAGGCACTAAGAAACAAATGGTTTTCAGAACTATATAAAGATCCCTAATGTTGAAATGGGGGCAGCAGATGGGGTGGGAGGGGCGCATTTGTCACCTTTTACTACATGAAGTGGGATGCAACAGGTATATTTTTCCTTGCTCATGCACAAAATGGGGATCAAGAAAGGGAAAGTTCAGTAGAAAGAAGTCCCTGTCGGTCATGTTTTTAGTAAAGATCGTGTATAGCCGCTGAAGTAGAAGTCCCTGTCGGTCATGTTGTTAGTAAAGATCGTGTAAAGCCGCTGAAGTAGAAGTCCCTGTCGGTCATGTGGTTAGCAAAGATCCTGTGAAGCCGCTGAAATAGAAGTCCCTGTCGGTCATGTTGTTAGTGAAGATCGTGTAAAGCCGCTGAAGTAGAAGTCCCTGTCGGTCATGTTGTTAGTAACGATCGTGGAAAGCCGCTGAAGAAGAAGTCCCTGTCGGTCATGTTGTTAATAAAGATCGTGTAAAGCCGCTGAAGTAAAAGTCCCTGTCGGTCATGTTGTTAGTAAAGATCGTGTAAAGCCGCTGAAGTAGAAGTCCCTGTCGGTCATGTTGTTAGTAAAGATCGTGTAAAGCCGCTGAAGTAGAAGTCCCTGTCGGTCATGTTGTTAGTAAAGATCGTGTAAAGCCGCTGAAGTAGAAGTCCCTGTCGGTCATGTTGTTAGTAAAGATCGTGTAAAGCCGCTGAAGTAGAAGTCCCTGTCGGTCATGTTGTTAGTAAAGATCGTGTAAAGCCGCTTAAGTAGAAGTCCCTGTCGGTCATGTAGTTAGTAAAGATCGTGTAAAGCCGCTTAAGTAGAAGTCCCTGTCGGTCATGTAGTTAGTAAAGATCGTGTAAAGCCGCTTAAGTAGAAGTCCCTGTCGGTCATGTAGTTAGTAAAGATCGTGTAAAGCCGCTTAAGTAGAAGTCCCTGTCGGTCATGTAGTTAGTAAAGATCGTGTAAAGCCGCTTAAGTAGAAGTCCCTGTCGGTCATGTAGTTAGTTAAGATCGTGTAAAGCCGCTGAAGTAGAAGTCCCTGTCGGTCATGTTGTTAGTAAAGATCGTGTAAAGATCATGTAAAGCCGCTGAAGTAGAAGCTTTAAGGTGCCCATGATTTTAGCTTCATTTGAAAACAAAAAACACCCAGGTATATTGCGCATGATACCCTTCTAACATTTGAAAAAGTATATGAGCTAGCAAGAAGGTAGTTAGTTATATCTTTACTCCTTCTTATTATACACTATAAATAGCTGTATAACGAATGTGAATTTTTCTCAGGTATCGACTTTCCCCCAGGCGGATCATCTGCTGCATCGATGGCTGGTCTGAACGACATGGTGTACGGCACAGAGGGAGAACGTGAGGAGAACAGAACTCTGATAGCTCTGTTTGCTACGGAAATACTTTTAGGACCGTGAGTAGTAAACTTACATCCAGTATTTTATACTACCATTTTTAAGGACTTTGGTATGTCCCGGCCTTGGGTCAGAGCCCATTGCCTACCTCACCTAGTTAAACGTTTAACATTTAACAAGTAAAAAATGAGGTGTTAACAAGCAAGGCTCAAGGGAAAATACAAAGATCCCAAATATTGCAATGGGTGCAGACTTTTTATTTTGGTCTTTTATTTGTCCCCAAGTATGGACATGAAAGTCCACAACTCTGCAGGGGTTCCTACATAAGTCGCCTCTTGGGATATATGCAGTTGGTAACAGGTGTATTCTTTTCTCGATCCCCGACCTGCAGGGGGTGAAACATGGGTTTTTTTGTAGCGAGAGGACAGAAATCAAGAGGCACAATGGCTTTAGTAGTAACCTGAATGAAGCTATGAATGAAACACGATGAAGATCTAACTTCACATCAACGAGATTTATGGATTTATGGTCTAATGGGCCATTAGACCTCATAGCAGTCATCTTGAATGCCGATAAAAAAGCAGACCTTGGAATATATCATATTCCGCCAATGTATAACATATACAAATAATAACAAACATGGAGTTATTTGTCAAACAGATGCTAGAGCACCAAAGTCGAATTTCATTATAAAGTATATCCCTCCGTAACATTTTACGAATTTTAGATTATTTATATGTAAACTGATAATGTATATTGCGAGGTTGTTCTATTTTTGTATACATAATTCGAATTCTGTGTATAACCTTTGTATTTTGGCATTCCTGTAAAAAAGATGTTTTCAATTATATAAACTACATGCATGTTTGTGTATGCCTGTATCAACAAACATGTTCTGTTCGACAGCGGTAAATTCCGGTCCCTCAGCAGGCTTCGGAGGAGTCGAAGTGTGAAAAAGGTGTTCAGGGCTGTAGAGGGAGACAACTGCGATAGCTGGAATCGTCCAGTGTGTAACATCGATTGCAAAATAGATGCTGACTCGCCTTTCAGGAGAATCAATGGCACCTGTAACAATTTAAAGCATCCGAAATGGGGTTCAACCGGGACGCCCCAGGTTCGTCTTTTAAATGCAGAATACGAAGATGGTAGGTAATTCTTTACATTTCAATTCCATTATTATCAAGGATTTAATATGAAAGTTGCATTTACTTTACATTCATATCGGAACAGATGTCTGTGTTCCCTGATTATTTTAACTTCAAGTGCATACATGATTTGTCACAATGAACATTGAGTTCAACGCCAAAACTTCAATAAAAATATAAAAAGCGTTGTGGATCGAGACTGACACTAAACATTACATAATTAAGATTCTACATGTCTCCACGAATTATATGATAAAATAAATAACTATACGTAGAAGAACACTGGTAATTCTAGTTTTAGGTTAATCTTTCGAAAGAATTGCTTCGCACAAGAAACACGACATTATTGATATATCGGATCGGACATTGGATCCGTACACCATCTGTTAGCACAATGGTGTTTTCGTCTTTAAGGGATCGGTGGCGTACGGACGACTGGCAAGAATCACTTTAACCTACCAAGTCCCAGGACGGTATCCAGAACAGTGTTACGAAACGAGAGTGACCTCCAGACACCCGATGACCCAACCAGAAGTGTAATGGTGACGGTGTGGGGTCAGTTTCTGGACCACGACCTCACGGAAACCCCTATGACTAAAGGTATGGGTATATTATTGACAACTCCTACAAAGGAATAATGTAAGACTAACACTTAAGTAAACATGAAATCGTTGTTTTTTTTATTATGAATGTTGATAAACCTTGCAGATAACTGAAAAGCACATAGTCAGGGCAGATAAACCTTCAGTAAAAAAATGTAATCAATGCATAAGATATTTAATAAAACGAGGTCCTTGAAGGTTCATCAGATCTACAGAAGGTGATATGTTACTTAAATCTTGTTTTGTCACATGTTTGCCACTATGACAGATAATATGGTATAAGAATTGCATAACTAAACGCAAAGTTGTAGGGGGCAGGGAGACTGTTACCAAAGGGACCAAGGAGACCATCGGAAATCTGCATGTGAAATTTGACACAAATCCCTCAAGCACTTTCTGATGAATAGCGATAACTAGAAATTCAAGATGCCCAACTGTCGGTCACGTTTGCTTCCCGATCGTTCCCAAATACAATATGAATTACTAGAGAGCATACGGAACTTTCATTTCAAATTTCGGAAAGATCCCTCTGGTTCCGGCACACATGAATGCATACATAACACACATGGAGGCACGTCCTGAAATGACCTTAGCTTTTGATTGGTTTGGTTTGGTTTAGTATTGTTAAACGTCCTATCAACAGCTATGGTCATTTAAGGACGGCCTTCCAAGATACACGCGTGTAGTGTATGCGTGTGTGTTTTGGGAGGCTGCGATATGTTCGTGTTTGTCTCCTTGTGATAGCGCGGAACTGATGCCGACTTTATAGTGCTACCTCACTAACAGATACTGCCGGAAACGCCAAGCAGGACACCCCACCCGGTCACATTAAACTGACAACGGGCGAACCAGTCGCCCCATCCTAAATTGCTGAGCGTTAAGCAGGAGTAGAAACTACCATTGTTACAGACTCTGGTATGTCTCGGCCAGGGGCCAGAACCCAAAGCCTTCCGCACAGGGGCGAATACTCAACTAAAGGCCAAAAGTTGAGGCATTGTCAAGGTAGACATTAGGAAAACGAAAATTGTTTAGACGTTTAAGATTTGAATAGCTCAGTCTAACAAACGGGCATAACAAGAGAGGTTAATGCAGTCTCTCCAATTAACATGTGGTATTACAATCAGTACTCATGAAATGTAAGTATTGATTGACTCAATGTTTTTACAGGTAGAAATGGCACCAACGTGGGCTGTTGTTCGCTGTCTAGTACGGAGAGAGCAATGAGGTTAGTTATTGTTATTGTTGTTGTATTGCTTAACGGCCTATCGACAATTTGAGTCATATAGGCCCAAACAACAAAATGTAAAATAACATTCACACAAAATGAATACATGAACACCATAAACAAAAGGTTAAAAGGTAAAACATGTCAAAATAAATCAATATCAAATGAATTGTTTATGATATGTATCATATCTTACTATAGAGGTTAATTGAATGTAAATAATCATAAACTATTGCACAGAAACTGTATCAAATAAACGTTTTATAGAGGGTACATTATAAAATCTGTCACGTATTTGTTTGAAATCATCGCATTCAAATATACTGTGTTTGACTAATTGGTAGAGCACATGCATGACAGTACGGTTGGTCTTCCTTATCTCAAATTTTATGCTTCGAAGGACCCAGTGTGCTACTATTGAAATTGAACCCGGCGACCCCGTCTACACTAGAGATTGTATGGACCTAGTGCGTTCCTTACCGATCAGGGAAAACCCATGTCTTCCAGGTATGTAATTCAACAGTCTCAACACCCTTACTGATCGAAAGGGGACCCATTTAAACAAGGTACTACTCGAGCGGTGCACTCGTACAGATTTAAAGGGGCCCTATTTTCTCCAAGCTATTTTAACATCCTATTTAACAGCAAATATCACCACAGGAGTTTAGAGTGCTACCTCACTTAAAGACCATGCCGAAGGCACCCATCACAGTATTCAATCTGGTCTCATTATACCCATAACAGGTTACATGTATGCAGTGGATATCTATAGAACTTATCCACAAACCTGTCGTCAAATTCAGGGGAAAAGGTTACTTCATGACAATATTATATTGCAAACAATGTTTATGATGCGATTCTTAGTTAAGTTGCGGGTCGTGCATTACTGTTTAACACTTATTCCATCTGTCGATTGGTCAACAATCTGATGACCAATCAAGTACAAAAACAGATAAGGACCACGCCCATCGACATTTAAGAAACGGAATATTGACAAGACATACAGCACGCTATATGATGTAAGAAAGCGCTTACATCGCTGTTCACATATACACAGCCACAAAGAGAAAACATTTCTCGCGATAGAGTAATAGATCATTAAAAATCTCGACCAGGCAGAGCTTAGATAAAATGAAAGGTCTGGACTAGGCCCATAAACCACACATAAAGACAAACGTGTACATCTGATTGTCAAACATCAAATTGAACAAACTGCCATGATCCCTATCATGCCGAATATGCATATATATGCCTGTAGATCGATTGCCATCTTGTATTTAGGGGTAAGAGAACAAGTGAACGCCATCACATCCTTCGTTGATGGATCCCAGGTGTATGGTTCTGAGGAGGCTCTTGCCCAGGAACTTCGCGCGGGGACAGATGGTAAGATTAAGTTCTGTACATTTTTGCGGTCATCATAAAAATGTAAACGAAGTATTTGCAACTGAAATTTCGATACAATATTGCATTTCCTGGATTATATACTTGATTTCATTTTTTTCATACTGTAGGTCTGATGAAAGTCGAGGGTGATAACCTGTTACCGGCAAATGACAAGTCTACCTGCCTATTAAGGAATGTTAATGACCATTGTCAGTTAGCTGGTAAGATTACTATATCCCACTGTATCTTAAGAGGCAAATGCTTTTTTCGTATGCTTCTTTTATTTAAGAGACATTGAAGAAACCAATACCAATCTACTTACCAAATTTGAAAAGGGATCTCTTTTCTTTTCTGAATTTCCTTTTATTAATGGAACGGATGTACATTGTTCATCGGTGCTCTAGTTTTCAGATTGTTTGTTAGTTTTTAATTGTTGCACAGCCCATCGACAAACCAATAAGGTCATTTAGGACCAAACAACACTGTGAAGATAGAAGTGCAGTTACATCAAACTAAAAACCAACAATCAAATTAAAAATCTCTGTGTGTTAACTGATATTTAATTAACCATGTATTAGTCCTTTCCAATTTGACCTGTCGTGCAACCCTACTCTTGTCTAAAGCATATGACAATACATGAAAATAATTGTGTTCAATACACTTTCGGCTTGTTTTATATGTGATACTTTTGCTTTCATTTATGGTATCATTCATTATAACCGTTTTTTGTGTGCGAATTGTTAAAATCAACAATCCATATCTACAAGCAAATACACACAGAAATACACGCATTACTGATCAATCTTACAATCGAGCGTAGCACAATTCAATGTGTATCTGAATGCAACACGAAATTCTTAATTTGTCTTTCATCTTTTGTATTATCTGTGATTAGGTGACGTGCGTGTGAACGAGAACCCTCACCTTGGAGCCATACACATTGCCTTCGTACGATACCACAATATTCTGGCCAAACGTTTCAAGGCTCTTGGCCTTGCTGACGACGAAGAGATATACCAGAGGACCAGGAAGATCATCGGGGCAATTATGCAGCATGTGACATACGCAGTGTGGCTACCTGATGTGATCGGGGACAATGCTATGAGAAGATTCCAACTCACCTTAGACGACACAGATCCATACGAGTAAGACACATTGGCATTGTTGTGTTGACGATGGAAACAAATCGGATCATTTAACAAGTCTTAAAGTAACAGAAACCGCTTCAAATGACCATCTAGCTACCATATAGCCCAAAGGATTCGTCAAAAAGCGTTAATATAAATTTCAACCAATCAGAAGCGAGTTTTGTTTTTTCTATGTATTGCTTGACAACCTATTGACAATTAAGGTCAACTTAAAGAACTTAAAACATGTAAGTACCATACATGTTTCAAGAACAGTGCTTTGAAGGACTCATAAAAGAAAATATTCGTCTCTCTTTCGGATTCTTGTAACATATTTATGTCGGTCAACACCTCGAATTGAACTTGTTTCACCATCTTGACTGATTTAAAGAGGTTGCAAAGACGAACAGATACTATATTAATTGAACGTTTTTTTTTTAAATATTACACTTTTATGATATGGCTTATGTATTCATTTCATGGCAGTTCTATAACAGTAAGAATCTTCATTGAATCTTACAGAAAAGACGTGGACCCGTCCGGTATCAACGAATTCAGTACGGCAGCCATGCGATACGGCCACACACTAGTTTCCCAAAACTTGCTCCAACTGAACGAGGGCTTTATGATCACAAATGACTCGGATCGACTCGATAATCACTTCTTCAGACCAGACATAATCTCCGACAGTACGCAATTGCAAAATCTGGCCCGCTGGATGGTCTCCTTGTCGTGCAAGAAGAGAGACGCGTATGTATTGACTAAATAAGTGCTCAATATATAAGTGCAACAATTATGTATAGCAGAAAACAAACTTCGTTGCTTGCGGGGGTTATCATCGGTGTTTTTTCTTTAAATGACCTAGTTGAAGTATTTTTTAATGAGAATTTCTTTCCATGATTGTGTAGATATCAAGGGATACTGGACTTTGGGCGTCTTCTTAATAACTCTTCTTTTTCAGATTTTTTGTCCAATCGATACACGAAAATTTGTTCGTTCAAAAAGTTGGAGATGGGCTTGACCTTAGTTCACTTAACATACAGAGAGGCCGCGAACATGGGCTGCCAGGCTACACGAAATACAGAAGACTGTGTGGCTTACGTGTACCAACATCCTTTTCGAAACTGAGAGACCATACCCCATGGTTCCGAACAAAACTGAAGGAAGTTTACAAGTACGTATCTTTTACACTAATGATATGGTACAAATATCTGCGATTTTTGTTTTTGCATCGTCTTACGGTCGGCCCATCGACAGATTAAGCTATAATCAGAATCATATAAGATTGCGGAATTGACATTCACAACACAGAACACAAAACAGGTCACGCGTTGTTTAAAATTGGCGAATTAAATAATAAAAAGGTGAACTGTCAACTGTTAGGAATTGTCGTCTTGATCGGGTATTTATCAAGTAAATCTCCTGACTTCGTTTGTATTACAATTTCAAATAACGGGGCAAGTTATAGTTTTTTAATCTATTTTTTTCATATGTACATATGGGCACATAGCCGATGAGTTTTATTTCCAACATATATTTTATCTCTTCTTTCATGTAGTTACAGAATGTCCACAAGTTGACAGAAGATTTTGTTTGAGCATATATAACTCGAATTTGATAACGAGCAAAATATATGGGCGATTCACGGGCTGTTATTAAGGTTTCAGACAGAATTTTTCAGAAAATTACATAAACAAAATTTAATATTCTAGTTGGAAAACAAAGTAAGCTCCCATCGTTATTATCTAGAAAAATCCGACGTTATCTTTAAAGAAAGTTTCGGTAATAATTTCATTCCTATTCTATCAACGGCGAAAGTCTGGTTAGTTTTATTTATTTTAAAAAAAACTAGAATTATAATCTGACAACATATATAACTTTGCATCACACCTCATCACACTGTTTATTGATACATTATCGGGCCGTATGACGTAATACTAGCGCAGTTTTCTTTACCGTCAGCTGTGAAGCCACCCCAAGAGCATTGCTTTTATGCTAATTTAAATGAACATTATCATTTTATTAATTTAAATAAACATTCAACATAATTGTATGAATGTTAAATATAAATTAACTTGTTTGAAATAAGACGTTATAGCATATTAACTGTGATTTCCTACAAATCTAATTTTTATAATGGTACTTCATTGATAAGCTGTTCTCACTGATACATTTTCCTCACGCTCTCTCAATTGCATTTTCTTCATGGTTAAGTGAAGAAAAACAGCTTTACTTTTATTCGTACTTCCATAGATAACTAAAATGCTTTTTAAATGTAGATAAAATGAATGGCCTGGCGATTCTTGATAAATAAGTCCAGAAACCCAATGTTGTTATAACTTCATAAACGATGAAAACAAATTAAATCCAGTATTAAATATGACGACACGTTATCAATATAATGTTATTTAAGTTATATGATGACCTGTTTAGTGTTGAATGGCCGTTAGGCAACTAATACTATTAAAAATAATGCTTATCTACTTCAATCATCATAAATATAGGAGTCATCATATGGAATGAAAAAAACATCTTTCAAAAAGCAGTACCCCCATTTACCTGCAGGGAAATGGATCACATTGACATGCTTGTCTATAAAGCCCCAATCGATTTTACTGTGACATATATATTAACTACTATGACCGTTATTTAGTGAAACTAAAAAGACCGATATGAAAGATTACTGTGACGTTTCCCCTGTCTATAGTGAAGTAAATGAAATTGCCTGTTTGCTAGTTGAGAAACCAAATTCCAAGAATGATTACCGTTTGATCTGTATAAAGGGATGTGGAAGACATTGACCTGTTTGTCGGTGCGATGACAGAGAATTCCGTCGATGATGCCCACATAAGTAGCACCTTCGCTTGTCTGCTGGGATTGCAGTTCCGGGCCCTTAAAAGAGGCGACCGCTTCTGGTTTGAGCGCCCTCTGCCTCAAGGAATGTCGCAAGGTAATTGTAATTGTATTGTTTAACGGCCCATCGACAATTTGAGTCATTTAGGGCCAAACAACAATGTAAAAAATAGACATTCACAGAAAATGAATACATGAAAACTAGAAAACAAAGGTTAAAATGTGTCAAAGATGTCAAATTATATCAATAGCAAACGTATTATTTATGAAATATATCATATCTTATTATAGAGATTAATTGAATAAAAATAATCATAGATTGATTGGACAGAAACTATATCAAATAAACGTTTCATAGAGGGTGTAATGTAACATTTGCCACGTATTTGTTTAAAATCAGCGCATTCAATTATAAAGTGTTTGACTGTAAATAGTTGATCGTATGCATGATAATAAGGTTGGTCTTCCTTATGTCAAATGTAACTATGTGTGATGAAGGTATGGCCTATGCGCATTCGGGAGAGAAAAACTTCCTCTCTGAGGTCTGCTCTACCTTTTGCACTTAAACCCACATGATGTTGAACTGAAAACTATTTATTGTTTGTTTCTTCAGACCTATTATTTTGCCAATTCGTTTTATTAAAATTCGCTATTGAAGGTTTAAAATCAGAATAAGACAGTTTAATATCTTTCGTATTGAGGTTAAGTGCTGCCTTAGCAGTTCTATTCTACTTTTTCATTTCCATTTATTCCGACATCGCCAGGTAAAATGCACCATTATCTCTTCAACAAGTAACGTGTTTAAATTATGAGCACGTATTTGTCAATGCTTATGAATGCCGTCTTCTGCCTTGTACGATCTGAATGTTTAAGTTACTGGCGGCATCAGATCTGCGCTACCGCAAGGAAGCCGCAATCATACATACACGCATGCATGCATGCATATACATCACACTCATGGAAGCATATCCCGAACGGATTCTATCTGTTTTTAGGATATTAAAAAATATAACCAAATGCCGTGTTTCACCTGCCTAATCAGCACAAAAAAGTAACACTTACATCGGATACTTGCCGACGAGGACACATGTATGTACTTCATCAGTTTTGTGTTATAGGCTTATTTTTCTCTCTATTTTTTCAGCTCAGAGAGATAACATCAAATCATTGCCATTGGCTAAGATTATGTGTGAAGTATTTGGCATACAAAGAATCCAGGAAAACATCTTCGAAATACCAAGGTGAGTATTGCAGATTATATTTGCCAATCTTAATGCAGCACATAGAAAAGTTTAATAGGATATGGGCTTAGAAAAAACTTGCAATTATGTTAATGGTATACCCAACAAATTGATAGTTGCCAAAACATTTTATCGAAAGAAGACTTCCATTGGACACAATTATATAGTAAAACGGAACACACTGTAGATGTTAACTGGGACCTGGTGTTTAACTGTAATTCAGCATGATGCATGACAAAAACATTACAAGTAAAACACCAACTGTCAGGCTTTTTGACACAAGTACAGTATGATCAGATACAAATCAACAATATAAGAACGCGATGTCCGTGCGAATTTAAGATCTTAGTTACTATTGGAACGGTAGTAAAACATAGGTCTGTCCGTAAACACGTATCTATTTCTGTTGAACTATACTAAGAATATCGTTAATTTTTATTTTTATATAATTACATGTTAAACGATAAATTGTAAAATAAATATCCTCGCTATTTTATATTTAGGTGGGTTTTTTTATCGATTAAGAATACTATCACAATTAATTTTATATTTTCATTTTATTTCTGTCATATTTACCGTAAACGTCATTCGCATCTTAATAAATTCCTGTGATATTTTTGATGAGTCAACCATTATTTAAAACCGATTTCTCCTGAACTTTTTCTGAGCAAATTTCACCCAAACTTAGTAGACATTTTTGCCTGACCGCCATTTTACAATTTTGATAATTATCCAAGTGATTAAAAATCGAGCTATTATCAGTTAATCATTAAACAACTATATCTCATTATACCTTTAGTTTAAAAGTACACCTTTTGAAATTAAATAGAAATAAATAAAGGGATTTTTGTTCAGTTATTAAGAAAAATGTCAACTGTTTTTCGTCAGGGTTCAACGGTGAAAAGTGATACATTGAAAATTGTCTGAACCAAACTTCGTACAAGTATTCCCCAAAGGACCCTTACTTACTGTTGATAATATTTAAAGGCTTTCAAAAATTACTTCATGACTTCCACGAGCACTGATTGGTTAATAATAAAACTATATATCGTTACCGCCTGTAGTCCCAAGGTTGATCTTTGAATGTGATGTAGACATGGGGTGGATAAAACTCACCTTCACACCTTTATTCAAAATATATCAACTTCAAGTTTAATGATTCAAAAAGTTTAACATATTGGCAACGAACAGAGAAATGCTAGGCAGATGTCTATCACCATTTCTAGTTTTTTTTTATTTGTTTTGTTTGTGTGAATATTAAACTTTGGTGAGCGAAAACTAGGATGTTACAAGTGATCAGATATAGCGCGATGTGTGCGAATATTGAACTTACTAGATACATGATACAAATGTTTGCTACAAATGTCACAAGAGTAGCTTGATGTGCAAAACTGTTAATTTAGCAATAGAACGTTTGGTTGAACGAAATAAATTCAAATCAACTACAATATGTTAAGATTACGTTTTGTTTCTGTTAAAGGTTAAACGAATTCAAGGCATGTTCTGATCTGCCCGACATCAACGTCGACCTCTGGATGTAATGCTTTAAGGAATAGGTTTTCTTTTTCAGCAAAACGGACATAACTATCAACTGACATACTTGTATTATTTCTTTTCTTCCTTCCAAACAGCATGTTAATGTAAACTTCTGTAAACATTTAACAGTTTTTTGTCAATAAATAACACTTTTGCATAATTTTTGCTTTGTGTTTGTATTGTTGTAAGTCATTAAGAGCAAAACAACGATGTAAAATAAGAACCTCGCAGAAATGAATTCATTTAACTAGAAATACAAAACTTTAAAAGGTGTCACAAATACATCAACTACGATGGCCGACAAGAGCCTGGCAAAAAGATTTGAATTTTCATATCTTTTTGTACCACGGTACACTTTTACATGGTACACACATATTTGAATTGTCATAACTTTGTGTACCATATAAATGTGTACCGTGGTACAAAAAGATATGAAAATTCATATCTTTTTGTCAGGCTCTTGTCGGCCATCGTAATACGAATCAACAGAGACCGAATTAGTAGTAAAATAACATATCTAATTATAAAGATCAATTGAGTGTAAATAATCGTATATTAATTGCACAGAAGCTGTATGAAAAAAACCTTTTCATAGACTGTACATAGAATCTGTGACCTATTTGTTTTAAATCAATGCATTTAATCATAAACTGGTTAACAACACTGGTCCTTAAAACTACTGCACTCCCAATCTGTGTTTGTAAACTGCTCGAAGGAATGATCAAGTGTAGGCTGATAGGGTTTTTAAATTGAAATGAAATAAAATAATATCACCACTTCAGAGTGGTTTTAGTTCAAGAAAGGGTACAAACGACCATTTGGTTAGACTTCAATCCTTTGTGTCTGGGGCTTCTCTAAAGAAGGAGCATTCAGTTGCTGTCTTTGATCTGAAAAGGCCTGCGACACAACGTAGTAATACGGAATCATGAAAGATCTGTATGAAACGGGAAGGAAAGGTAATATACTGATTTTTATTTCCATCTTCCTATCAAACCGATGATTTCAAGTACAGAATGAAACAACATTTTCTTACGTCTACGAACAGGAAATCGGCGTCCCAACAGGAGGTTTTCTTTCTGCAACACGTTTTAGGCAACATACACACTGATAAATATTTATGCACCAAACAACCCACAAGACAGAAACATGTTTTTTAAAAGAATCAATGAAGTTATAAAATCTGAAGCAAAAGGCTCTCTCATCATAGGGGGTGACTATAACGACACCTTAAAACAAATAGACAGAAAAACTAATATAAATAAACGAAACACAACTACCAACAGCTTAACACAGCTCATTAAACAAAATAAACTAACTGACATTTGGAGACAAATTAATCAAAACAAGTTACAATTTACATGGAAAAGAAAAAACGGGTCAGAGAAAAGTAGAATAGACTTCTGGTTAATTAACGAGGATATCAGGCCTATTGTTAATACATGTCACATAAGACCTGCAATTATAAAACATACAGATCACATGGCTATCTCGTTAAAATTAAACCTTACTAAACCAACAAGAGGTGGATCCTTCTGGAAAATGAATAATTCCTACCTAACAGATGATTAGTATATCAAAACAATAAAACAGGTTATTAATGAATACCGACATGCAATAGACAATGGTGTACTAGATATACAAGTAGGATGGGAGTTATGTAAATCCACAATTAAAGAAAAATCAAATGATTTCGGCATGAAGAAAAGTCTAGAAAGGAAAAACAAATTAAACCAACTAGAACGACAGCTAAAAATACTGAACGAACAGACTAACCACACTGATGATGAGGCTATGGAAAACAAAAGAACAGATCTAGAAAAACAAGTAGGAGACATCTACGAATTTAAAGCAAAAGGCACCCAAATAAGAGCGAAAGAAAATTGGGTAGAGAAGGGAGAAAAAAACAACAAATATTTTCTCCAATTAGAGAACAAACGACAGATAAGAAAAAGTATATCAAAATTGAATGTTGAGGATTAAACAATAACAAAAGAATCAGAAATTTTAAAAGCAGGGCATGATTTCTATAAAAAAAACTATACACCACACAATCTCCAGACCCCACCAAAGTAAACGATTATTTAAGCAAAACAGTGTTGGAAAATAAAATAAATAAAGACACAAGTAAACTATGCGACGGTCAACTCACAGTAAAAGAATGTACAGACGCTGTAAAATATGAAATTAAATAAATCACCAGGGCTAGATGGTATAACAGCAGAACTTTATAAAACTTTCTGGAATGAGCTTAAAGACATAGTTATACAATCACTAAATGCAGGTTATACAAAAACTTAATTATCAGCCTCACAACAACAGGGCGCAATAACACTCATATGTAAAAAAGGAAACCCAGAATTACTAGAAAACTGGAGACCGATCACACTATTAAATTTTGATTATAAAATAGCAGCGTATGTATTGGCAAAACGTCTTCAAAAAGTATTACCATCCATCATTAGCTGGGATCAACAAGGTTACTTAACAAATAGATATATCGGTTATAATATCCGTCGAACACAAGATATCATTGATTATGCAGACCAATTAAATATAGAGGGGGCAATCCTTTTCTTAGATTTCAAAAAAGCTTTCGACACATGTGAGTGGGACTTTATGGTTAGAACTTTAAAAACATTTGGATTTAATAACTCTTTCATCTCATGGATAAACACTTTGTATTCAAATAGTTCTAGTTGTATGTTAAACAATGGGTGGAAATCAAAAAAAAATTAAAATAGAAAGAGGCATAAGGCAGGGTTGTCCGGCCTCGGCTTCAATTTTCGTAGCCATAGTTGAAATCCTAGCCCTTAATATCCGCAATAACAACAATTTAAGAGGGATAAAAGTAAAGGGTTTTTTGAAAGAACAAAAAATAAGCTAGTTAGCAGATGACACCACCCTGTTTATAAGTTCACCACACCACATACCAATAGCGTTGCAAATAGTATTAAATTTTGGGGAGGTATCAGACTTAAAATTAAATAGAAACAAAACTGATGATCTTTGGATTGGAAAACTAAAAAATTCTAAAAGAAAGATAGGCGGAATAAACTGGCCAGAAGTACCAATAAAGTCACTAGGGATATATTTCAGTAACAAAAAAAAATGAATGTGAAAAGCTTAACTGGGATGGAAAAATTACAAATACAAAAACATGTCTTAATATGTGGAAAAGAAGAGATCTAACTTTTATTGGTAAAACAGTAATTATTAAAAGTATTATATTACCCAAATTTACATACCTTGTACAATCTTTGATAATTCCCAAAAAAGTAATAATAGAACTGGAGAAAACTATGTACAACTTCTTAGGGTCTGGGAAAAGAGAAAAAATTAAACGAAAAACCCTAATTGGACAAGTGGTATCTGGAGGGATAAACTTTCCAGACTTGGAAGCATATTTTACAAATCTAAAAATAAAGTGGGTCAAAACTCTAATAAAAGAAAACACTCTTGCGAACTGGAAAATCATACCAAACTACTATTTAAACAAATATGGGAAAGACCTGCTTATTTTTAAAATGAATCTAGACCAAATTAAATCTCTACCAAAAATAAAAGAAACACCATTATTTTATCAGGAAGTTATAAAAGCTTGGATTACACTGGGTGGAGGACAAACGAAAAATTATCTCAATCAGCTGGAAATAAGAAAACAACCAATATGGGGAAACAAACATATCAAAATCAAAAATAAAGTACTAATTTTTACTAACTGGATTAACTCAGGTATACTTCTAATTGATGATATTTTTGAGAATGGTTCCATCTCTCAAATAAAGATTTTATCAAACTTAAAAAACAAAAGAAACTGGATGTCAGAACTAACCCAATTAAAACAGGCTATACCGAAGGAATGGATGAATAAACTCAAACTTACACCCTACCCAACATTACACTACAGAACACAATTGAAAGTTTTAGACAGCACTACCGATAAAACAATCTCTATAGAACAGCTAAACAGCAAAACTTCCTACGGCATATTAATAAAACAGAAATTTATCAAACCCTATATATATGAAGCGTGGAATAAAACATTTGATACATCTATAAGAAAATCAAGATGGTCTGAAATATCAGAATTCATATTCAAGAAAATACACGATAATAGAATTGTTCAATTTAAATATAAACTTATTAATCAAATAGTTCCTACACAGCAACAACTTGAAAAATGGAAAATTTCAAACACGCCAAATTGTAAACATTGTGGGAAATGCGAAGACTACAATCATTACTTTGAAGAATGCTCCTAGTTAAAAACGTTCGGGGAAAAGATCAATTCAGCAATGTCAACATGTAAAATAAACAAAAGCAGAATGTTAGAATTTATAGTAATGGGAAACAACATCAGCGTCCCTATATATGAAACACCCAACATTATATATACACTAATAGGATACTCCATTTACAGAACATACCACATAAGTGAATGCAAAACCTTATCAATAAATGTTATAAATATATTGAAACAAGATCTGGAAAACTATTTATGGAAAACGAAATCAATAAAACAGAAAAAAGACCTGAACCTTTTTTCTTCTAGCATCTGATACACTAGTTAATATAATGATAACGAAATATTGTAGGCCAGAGTGTTTCTAGTATATACCTACTCATCATAGCGATCCACATTTCTACTTTCTGTTTAATCGTAACGAGTTCTGCGTCTTCACAGAAACAAATAAGCTGATCTTACAACACAGCTTCATCAATATCAACCCCCAAAAAACCTTTCACAATAGAAAATTCAAAACAAACATGTTAGGCATACTCGAATGATTTACAAGCACGTTTAGGACTGCCTTATATTACCACAGCGCGGCGTGTTTCCATCTTGCTACTATTAATACACACAGCCAAGGTCAAGGCCGACTTGTCCCGGAAGTGAGGCCCAGTACAGGGTAATCCACATGGAGGCGCGGCAAAGGGAGTGTATGCATATATGCATGTAAGGATAATTTGTACGGTAACTTTGAATGTAAGTAAAAATGTTAAATAAGGCAGTGAAAAAATAAAGAAATAATAATATAATTACTAGTAAGTATGAAAGAAAGTATGACAGCCCTCTCGTATGAGGACACATGATTGTGAAGATGCTGATCGCGGGGCTCCCCAACCTCGGCAGTATCCTAAATGTGCTGGGGAAGTAAA